TCCTTTATTGATTTTTTTTTTTTAATAGTTTTTTTTGAGACAAGACCTCCCTGTAGCCCCAGCTGGCCTGGAACTCACTATGTACACCAGACTGGACTTGAGATCCACCTGCCTCTGCCTCCCAATGCTGGGACTATAGGCGTGTAGCACCACGCCCAGTCCTTTATTGATTTAAAAAAAAAAAATTTAGAAGGGCCAGGTATAGTGGTACACAACTATAAATCCCAGCATTTAGGAAACAGAGGTAGGTGAACCTCTGTGAGTTCAAGGCCAGCCTGGTCTACCCAGCAGCCAGGTTTACAGAATGAAACACTGGTTTGGTTTTTGTTTTGCTTTTTTTGGTCTTTTTAAGGCAGGGTCTCCCTTAGTCCCAGCTGGCCTGAACTCATGTAGACCGGGCTGGCTCACAAATATCCACCTGCCTCTGCTTCCCAAGTTCTAGGATCAAAGGCATGCACCACCACACTTGGCAAAATAAGACTTCTTTAAGAGGGGTTTTTAGTCTTGTACAAACAAAACAAAGGGGCTGAAGAGATGGCTCAGCGGTTAAGAACACTGGTTGTTCTTGCAGAAGCCGGGGTTCAAATCCCAGCACCCACATAGCAGCTAACAACTATCCTTAACTCCAGTCCCAGGGGATCCAACAGCCTCTTCTGACCTCCGTGGGCATTGCACGACACAAGTGCACCTACCTACATGCAGGCAATACATGAATACACATAAAATAAAAATAATAAATAAAATTTAAAAACAACAACAAAAATAAAAATAACAGCTATACTGATGATGCATGCCTATAATCAAAGCACACAAGAGGCAGGAGGAGCAATAATTTAAGGAGTTCAGCCACTAAGATCAACCTCTGCTACATAGTGAGTTCAAAGACAGTTTGCAAAAAAGAAAAAAAATGCTAAAGCATTTGAGTTATAATTTACATACAGTAAAATGTACATCTTTAAAATGTTCACCTGGGCAGGCAACCTGAGTTTGATTCCCAGAACCCACAGAAAGGTGAAAAGAGCTCATTCCCAGAAGCTGTCCTCCAACCTGCACATGCACCTACACAGAAGTATCACACACGCACACACGCACGCACGCACGCACGCACGCACGCACTAAATTTTTTCAAAAAGTAAAATCTACATCTCAGCCAGGCATGATGGTGAACACCTATAATGCTAGCACTTAAGAGGTAGAGGTAGGAGGCTATATCATGAGTTAGTTCAAGGTCATCCTAGACTACATAAGAGCCCCCCCATCTCAAAAAATATGGGGCTCAGGGAGTGGGAGGGGTAGAGAGATGGCTCAATGGTTAAGAGCACTTACTGCTCTATAAGAAGGCTGGAGTTTAGACTCCAGAACCCACATCAAGCAGCTCACAAAAGCTTATAACTCCAGCTCCAAAGGATCTGATGCTCTCTTCTGGCCTCCATGAGCACCTGTACACAAACTTGAGTACATACACACATACACACACACACACACACACACACACACACACACACAAGTAAAATAAATCTTAATAAAAGGGGCCGGGCGTGGTAGCACACACCTTTAGTCCCAGCACTAGGGAGACAGAGGCAGACAGATCTCTGTGAGTTCAAAGTCAACCTGGTCTACATAGTGAGCTCCAGGCCAGCTGGGGCTACAGGGAGGCCGTGTCTCAAAAATAATAATAATAGGGGCTGGAGAGATGGCTCAGTGGTTAAGAACACTGGTTGTTCTTAATTAAAGGGGAACTAGTTGGGAAGAAGGGGGATCAATGGGAACAGGAAGGGGACAAAAGAAAATAATGAGAGGTTTAAAATATGATCACACCAGGTGTGGTGGCACACACCTTTAATCCCAGCACTCCAAAGGCAGAAGCAGGCAGATCTCTGAATTCCAAGCTAGCCTGGTCTACATAGTGAGTTCCAGGCCAGCTGTGGCTATAGGGAGACCATGTCTCAAAAAAACCCAAAATAAAATAAAATATGATCAAAATACATTATATACATGAAAATATCATAATAAAGCCAGGTGTGGTGGTGCACGCCTTTAGTCCCAGCACTTGGGAGGCAGAGGCAAATCTCTGTGAGTTCAAGGCATCCTGATCTACCACAGTGAGTTCCAGGCCAGCTGGGGCTACAGGGAGACCCTGTCGCAAACAAAAAAAAAAAAAAAAAAAAAATATCATAATGAAATCATTGCTGTGTATAATATATGCTAATAAAACTTAAAAATATTAATAAAGTGCACAACTCAAAAAATGCACAAATCTGGGAGGGGTTCACAAGCCCCCGTCCCTAATTGAGGAGCTGATGGCTTTTGGGGTAGGGACATTCACTCAGTTTTCTTTAAGGGTTGGTTCCTGGTGGATCAACCATGCTTCAGAGAGTTATATGGGCAGCACAAATTGGTTTCAATGGGTTATTTTTTAAGAGACATTAAGTTAGGAGGGGGTAGGAAGGTGAATCTGGGAGGAGTGGGGGGGGGGCTATGAATATGACCAAAATACATTGTATGAAGCTGGGTATGGTGGCACATGTCTTTAGTCCCAGCACTCAGGAGGTAGAGGCAGGCGGATCTTTGTGAGTTCAAGGCCAGCCTGGTCAACATAATGAGTTCCAGGCCAGGTGGGACTACAAAGAGACCCTGTCAAATTTTATGAAATTCTCAAAAAATTAATAAAAATATTGTATTTTTAAGAATGTACATATTGGGCTAGAGGAATGGTTCAGCAGTTAAGAACAGATACTGCTCTTACAGAGGACCAGAGTTCAATTCCCAGCACCAGATCAGGTGGCTCACATAGGCCTGTAACTCCAATTCCTGAGGGATCCAACTCCTCTGGCTTCTGAGGGCTCTTAACACATGCACATACCCACACATAGACACACACACACACAGAGATGGACGGACAGACACACACACAAAATTAAAAATAATAAATCTTTTGGGGGGCTGGAGACATGGCTCAGCGGTTAAGAACACTGGTTATTCTTGCAGAAGACCCAGGTTCAAATCCCAGCACCCACATGGCAGCTAACAACTGTCCGTAACTCCAGTTCTAGGGGATCCGACAGCCTCTTCTGTCTTCCGCGGGCATTGTACAACACAGGTGCACTTACCTACATGCAAGCAATACACGCATACTTATAAAATAAAAATAAATAAAATAAAAATAAGTTTTTTTAAAACAATGAAATTTAGCTGGGTGTGGTGGCGCACGCCTTTAATCCCGGCACTCAGGAGGCAGAGGCAG